TAGGAATTAAAATATATTAATTTTTATAGGAACTAAAAATGAAATGCGAGATATGTATAAAGACCAAAAATATATTTAACCATTTATTTTAATTTGGCTTATAGATCATTTCTTTTTGAGCCAAATCTTTTCCTATATAAATAGGGTTTATCATCTTTCTAAAATACACTAAAATTTGAATTTCTACCATCGTGTGATATTTTCTAGTCTCTTTATTACTCTCCTTTAATTTCTTTCATTAAAAATTTTTCTTAGTGACTTGTGAGTAAAATATACATGTGAGGAAGAATTTGTAAAGGTGTCTTGCTTAGTTATTCTTCAAGAGTGCGATTCTCTTGAATATTTCCTTTTTGGTTCTAGAGATAAATCTAGAAAAATCTATGCTTGGTTCTTGATGTTATCTTGTTAAAACTTATGTTTAGTTATCTAGATTAGTTGGTTAAAATCTCGTTATTGGTTCATGGATTTGGCTTCTATTTTGTTTTAGGGATCATCTTGTGTGAAACATCTCAGTCAATTGTAATAAGGTTCATGGGCATAATCTCTCAAAAATTTAAAGATATTATTTTTGTGGAACTCTCAAACAGATTCTCTTAAGGAGAGGAGTAGTCCAAGATATCAATCAAACCTCTATAAATTCTAGTGTAGTCTTTCTAATCTCTTTCTCTCTATTTGTGTCTTTTTGTGTGTGTGTTTAAATATATTAACACAAACTATTATTTTAAGTAATTTAACTTTAATTTAATCATGATTTTTAAATACCACAATTCACCTAAACTAAACTCAATTTTCTTTCTTCTGAAGCTCTCCGAATATTTTGGCATGAGAGACAATTAAGAAATCTCTTTCATAGTGAAATTCCTTCCAAAATGTTCTCCACCCATGAAGTCATTTCCAAATAATTCCTTAAACGTTAGATCTTTGAGAAATATTTGGACATATGCTTTATACAACTTCTTTTGATATGACAATGAATTATTGATTTTGAAAAGCATTAATGTTCACTAAATATTTCTTCATATGCTTCTTCTGATGATACCATATGATGATGTTTCTTCAAATGATAACGAGTTTCAATCTCTTTCTCCTCCTTTAGGAAACTTTTTCTTAGACTATCTGCACAAACAAAGACTTATACCTCTATAAGAGATATAAGGTTAGTTCAACGAATGTAACATGTATGGATTCTTCTATAGTTATGGTTTTTTTCGAAAAAATTTTAATAGAAAAAGGACAAATTTTATTTCGGAGCTTTAGAGATTATATATATAAAAGAATTAGACGATACTATATTATTTTTGTCACACAACTTACTTAATACTAAATAAATTTGTTATAAACTTTTAATAATCATAAAAATTCAAATATATGATTAGAGATCTTTCTAATAGTCTCAAACCCAACAAATATACTTTTACCATAAAAAGAAACTTCTCCCCTATTATAAGTAAAATAAGAGAACATATTTATTTTTTTAGTTAGATGATTTGAGCAACCATATCAACATGTCCTTTTGATTTTGAACTATCAAGCATATCTGCATCACAAATTGACATTTAGATTTTTGGTACCCAAATATTTTTGGGTCATTTAATATTAGTGTGATAAATATCTTCCCCAAATTTATCATTAGGGTCTTAATTTCATAGTTAGGATGAAGCAGTCATGTTTCTCATTTCACGCTCTTGGTATTCATTATAGAAATCAGAAGTTTCTCATTTCACGCTCTTGGTATTCATTATAGAAATGAGAAGGAGGATAATCATTCTTACTTTTATGACTTTTTTTAACAAAGGATAACAAAACAATTCGACTATTTTTATTACAATAATTGCATTTAAGAGTTTTGTATTTAGAGTTCATATTTGAATGACATATATTACTAAAACTTTTAAAATTATTCATAGGTTCATAACTTACACCGACTTTGTTATATAAAATTCTTTGATTTTCTAATAGAATATTCAACTTGTCACTTCCTTTAGTAAACTTATTAAGTAAATTACCTAATGTCAATTTTATTTTTTAAAACAATGTTTTTTAACTAGATTCTCATATGAGAAGGAGAAAAATAGGAAGAAGAGATTTGGATTAAAATATGTTGTTTCTTTTTGAGTCTGTCTATTTCTTCGAGCAAGTTTTATTTCCTATTTTATGGGAAGAAATATTGATCTTAGAAGTAGAGATAGTGTGTTACTTTAATCCATATATAACGTTTTTGCATAATCAAAATAATTAATCATAAGTAAAATCAGAGGTTAGATTTCTGATGTCTCTGTATGCATTGATCTGGAAATATTTATATAAAGAGGCTCATAAATCTCTCTCCTAGAATTAAACTATACAAATTGATATTTCTAGAAATATCCTATGTTTACAGCTAGACCATAATAGAGAGCCATTATATGGTATTAATATGGGACAACAAGCACACTAATAGCTATTCATTTTCTTCTAAAAATATTTTTTCTGTAATAATTACATTACCCCCCCTCAAGTTGGAGCATGTAAATTACATATGCCCAACTTGCTTAACAAGAAAGTGAATTGCGTGGTCCCAATAGCCTTAGTAAAGACATCTGCTAGTTGTGTTTGAGTAGAAACATAAGTTGGTGAAATATTCTCAGTAAGATATTCGTCACGAATGTAGTGGCAGTCCACTTCAATGTGTTTAGTTCGCTCGTGAAAAACCGGGTTCTTGACGATATGAAGCGCCGCTTGACTGTCACAGTGAATTTTCATAGGTTGAGAATGTGAAATACCAAGAGTTAAAAGAAAACCTTTTAACCATTTCAGTTCTCCTGTTATAGCTGCCATAGGACGATACTCAGCCTCAGCCGAGGAACGAGATACAATTTGCTGTTTTTTAGTCTTCCAGGAAATTGGAGAAGAGCCAAGAAAAACAAACCATCCAATTGTTCACTCTCTCCAAAGGCAACCTCAGGTGCACCCTATTCCATAACTAATTATGTGCATTATGACCGTTTTTCCATTGCACATCGTGCTTTTCTTTCATCTATTTCACAGGAAAAGGAGCCTATTAATTACACTGAGGCAATGAAAGATAATCGGTGGAGGGAGGCTATGCAAAGTGAAATACATGCACTTGAAACCAATGGAACTTGGACAGTAATAGAATTGCCACCCGGGAAGAAAGCACTCGGCTGCAAATGGGTGTACAAAATAAAGCATAAATCAGATGGAAGTGTAGAACGGTTCAAAGCACGACTAGTAATCCTTGGAAACCATCAAAAGGAAGGGATTGATTATACAGAGACGTTTGCACCTGTGGTGAAAATGGTTACGGTTCGTACAGTGTTAGCCGTAGCAGCCTCACGAGATTGGGAATTACATCAAATGGATGTGCATAATGCATTTTTACATAGAGAGCCATTATATGGTATTAATATGGGACAACTAGCACACTAATAACTATTCATTTTCTTCTAAAAATATTTCTTCTGTAATAATTACATTAGATTATTTATCTCATTTTCTTCGTGATTAATTTCTTCTTCTTTTTCAGATTTATCGAAGGAGTTCATGACATTTTTGTCCATGCAATATAAACTGTTTTTGTGTCTTTTTGTTGTCTTTTATATCTTCTAGATTTTCTTTAATTTTGTAGACATTCTAGCTTTATGCGACATTTCTTTCCGCACTCAAAGCAAGTTGAAATGACTATTGATTTTTCATTACTTTATTTTTGAAAATTTGAAGTTTGTTTTTCGTGCCTTAGAAATTCCTTAAATATAAAATTCATCACTTCTATTTTGATAATCTTCATCTTTTGACATATGTAACTTTTAGAGCAATACATTTCTTCTTTTTGTTGTCTTAATATTCAGGTAGTATTTTTACTTCCATTTTGTGTTTCTGCAACTTTCCAAACAATGTAGCAAAATTCTTACAAGACAAGTCTTTAGATTTGTAAATTAAATTGATTTTAGGTTTCTAACTACAATTTAATCATCTAAGTATTTTGATAAGCAATTCTTCATTTTGAAAAACTTTACCCAAAGTTCTCCTATGAATAACAATGTGAATAAAACTTTTTTTTTATATCCTGAATGTTTTCCTCATATTTCATTCTAAATAATTCATACTCATGAATCAATGCGTTTATTCTAATTATATCTTCATAAGTTAAAAAGTGTCTCATATTTCTTTGACTACTATCACAATGAGAAACATACAAAAACTCATTAATATCAAATGCAACCATGATGATAGATTTAACTTTTTAAATTGCGCAACACTTTTTTTATCCTTTTTAATTGTGATTTCTCTACCTTTATATGAAAATATCTTAAATAATTTTTTAAAGAATTTTACACAAACATGCCTTAAAAATTGGCTTCAAACCTATATTGATATTTTCAAAACCCCATCTTGACATGGAAGCAAGAAGTTTAATACTTTTTAAATATCTCTATGTTGTTTGAAAAGTTTCATTTATCATATTTTTTGTATGAGGTTTCATTTATCATTATATCTACATTTGTAAAGTATTACCCAAAATAGTTCAGATTTCTATCATCTTTTTCCATGCCACAATGCATAAGTGGCATTACATTAAAGTAGGAAAAAAATAGGGACCACAAAATTGTACAATTACAAATTCTTAAATGGCTAAATTTTTATACATGAGCTGTTTATCACTATGACCATTCCTGAAGTGAAATTATGTACACACTTGGCAGAAAAAAAAACAGATACATTGTTCACTATTACCACACCAACCAATCTTCACTGTCATATTAACAAATAACTTGTTACAAGAGAATTCAATCTCATACATTTATGAACCCAGAAAAAAAAATCATGAGTGGAAAATAAAAGAATACAACTGCTCAATGGCCCAGGAAAAATAAAACAAGGGGATAGATAGATACATCTGCTTTTTATACACTTGTGAAGCAGCTAGCTAACCCTATGTAATTCACAAATATAATATAGGTAATAATAATTTATGACAATTATTTTTTTATTTTTTTTATTTATTTAGTTGATTTGAATAATTGACTTCCAAGAGTTACAGTTGGTGTTCCTTCACCCATCATTGTTGTTAAGTTCATCTCTTTTTCGAGGATTCGGTCGAGTTCCATTTCGACGTAGCTCATGGAAGGTCTTCTTTCACTTGAAGGATCCAAACATCTTATTAAGAGTAGAATGTAGTTTTCCATTCCTTCAGCTGTGAATCTACTTTCCATTCTTTGATCAATGATCGCAGACATGGTGCTGCTGTCTTGATTACTTAGCACCTACGTTATATAAAGGATAAAAGTACGTATCAATCACACATAATCTATGAAGCACGGACACGGACACAACGACATGTTAACACAGGTAATAGTTTAAAAAAGTTAATTAATTGAATGTAATCACATACGCCTTTGATCAAAAGTGTTAGTGCTATATTGTGGATGTATGTTTGGTACTGAGCGTTAGGGGTGTGTGTTGAGAGTTTCGCATTGTATAGTGATATGGTTTGAATAGTAGTTCTAACAATGAAGTTAAGTATAATTATATACCGATTCAACCAGATTTTGACTTGTGTTTATAGAGGGTGATTCTGTTGCTTCCTTCCCACTCAACAATTCCAACAAAAATACCCCAAAGCTATACACATCGCTCTTCTCAGAAAATTGTCTGAACTCTCTCACCCTGCAAGGGATGGTGGTGTATGTAAATAAAGAAAAATGCACGCATAACCGAAACAATGTGAACCATAGAGAGTTTTTAGAGAAATTACTCAGGTGCAAGAAATATCTCATCTGATGCCACTTGTGAAGACGAGCCTACAATTTCAACTCTCCCTAGAAAATTACGAAGCCCTGCATCCGCGACCTTAGAAATGAAGTTTTCATCGACAAGAACATTAGATGTTTTGAAATTCTTATGCACCAAACGCGGACTCAAAGAATGAAGATGAGCCAAACCTGCATTGTGTATGAATTATGAATGAGCTTTTGAAAATCAGAACCAAGTTCTTCGTAGTTTTTTTATGCATAGACAAGGTTTACCAAATGATTGAAAATCTTAGGATTATGGATCCATTAAGATACTTTTCGGTGTTTTATATTTATCTAAAAGAGAAGAAAAATGATACCAGGAAAGCCACAAATGCTCACTGATTTTGCTAAGGATCACCTTTAGCTGCACCTTGAGCTATTGAGAGTCTATGCTTGAATTCTAGCCTCTCTCGTGGTTGTTGACTAGCACCTTCAAGGGAAAATCAAAACCACAATCATCGGCAACAGAACAGAAAAACATTGCAGATATATATGATTGAACTTTGTCGAATTGGAACATGTCACAGATGAAAATGCAGAAATTTACCATACAAGTGACTGGAGACGCTTCCATTCGGCACATATTCGTATATAAGAAACTGTAGATTGTTTTCTTGGCAATATCCGATAAGAGTAACTAGATTCCGATGTTGAATGGATGAAAGATAGCGTACCTAAAGTAAACGAAAGTAGTGATAGTTTTGTGTCATAATCAATCATCAAACTGGTTTAACAATTTCATCACAATGAAGTTTGTCTGTCATTCAGAAAACAAACTAAGTATTACCTCATCAACGAATTCCTGACTAATCACACCGCGGCGCTTCTTGATAGCTACAAGCATCCCATCTTGAAGTAAGCCTTTGTAAACCTCACCAAATTTCCCTTCTCCAATCAAATTTTTGTCAGTGAAATTCTTTGTTGCGTGAGAGAGTTCTTCCATTGCAAAATGCCTAGTATCTCGCATTTGCAACTCAATTCCACCATGTCTTCCCACTGCATGTTAATGGAATTCATTCGCGTCATTTTAAGGAAGCTCATACATATCGGTCATTACATAATACAGTAATTTAGATGTTTGTTACCCTGTGAAGGATCGGAAGACCCTGTCTCTGAAGTTCTAGAAACGCTTGTTTGGCGAAACAAACAAAACCATAAAAGTATTATAGATATCCCTACCAATGCCGCGGCTCCTGCAGCTCCTCCTATTATTGCTGCAAGAGAACTTGACATCTGATATGGAAATCACTTCACTTTTGTTCTATAAATTTACACCAACTAGTCTTATACATGAAACCTGAATTCCAGAAAACAATAACAAAAGATCACAACCTATGAAACATGAACCATATATGCTTTAAACTAAACAAGACAGATAGATTATCTTTTATTATTAGCTAATAAAACTATAGAGACATAACTATGCTTTTTGAACTAGCTAAAACAATGGTTTTAAATTGAGGGCCGCAACCGCAATTGCGGCTGCAATATTGCTGATGTGGTAGTCTCCGCAACTGCATCGGACCGCAATTCCAGTTTGATTTGAAAGCATGCGTCCTTCCACATTAGAAACCGCATCGGACAACTTTGCCTAGGTTGCTTGAAGTATTTTCGTCAAAAACTCAAAAGTCAGAACCCAAAACTCAATTTACTTTTTGAAAAATCTTAACATTAAGTATTTCTTAAAGGTGTATTCAAACTCTTGTCAATCAAATTTCACGCTGCAAGGGCGGCAATGCACATTGCAACAACCACAATAACTGTAATCGCAACACCTGCAATTTAAAACCATGAATTTGCGAGACGTGACTTAGTGCATGTTTAGATTGGCATTGGGCCGCCGCGAATTCTGCTTCTACAAAATCGCGGAGATTTAACAAACACACCACTAATCCAAACATACAGTTAAGAGAAGGCATGCAGTTAAGAATGCAGATATAAAAAACTAAATAGAATGTAATGCAGCACAAAAAGAAGAGTAAATTAAAAGTAATGAGTAACTCCAGCAAAAAGTGTAACAAGTTCATGAATTCCTACAAATTAATTGCATGTGTGTTCTGTAAATGTCATGCAAGATGATAAAATTGGATCTATTAGCCTAATAAGATTGCAGTAAAAAAAGAATAGAGTGATTACTTTTTGTGAAATAAAAATACTGAAGCAGGATCTGAGAAAGCCTGTGATACATTTACCAATGACACTTTGCAGAAACCTTGTTCCAATGGTGATCACAAATAACCCAAAATCTCCTTCTTTCTTCCCACAAATGAACCAAGAAAATCACTAAACCTCAACAACAGAATCAAAACCAGAAGCAATTGTAGTTGAAATGAGAAATTGTTGTGTTTGATGGTTGGATAGTGGAAAGAGACAATGCCGACAGAAAGTGACCTTGCGCCGACAGACACAAGACACTATCAGCAGGTTTATTACTACCAAACAACTCAATTATGAAATCATCACCATTAATATTTATCTATATATGTACATGAAAAAAAACAAACCCTTCAAAACAATTCACCCTTTTTTATTCTTTCCATTCATCAATTCAATTCAATTCAATTCAACAAGATACTACTACAAACAACACAGCTAAAAACATTGCTGGAGAGAGAAAGTGTTTGTGTTGTGAGAGAGAAAACAAAGACAAGAGGTGGAAATATTAATATTAATAATTTTGTGGGCTGTAAAGTACTAGCATAATTGTTGTCTCGTACCGCCAACTTGAATTGAGGTTTATTTTCTGTGTGTCGTGTACAGAACATCCAAGCTGTAACAGATTCATACTGTTACAAAAAAAAAACACACTGACCAAGTAGATTGTAAATATAGGTAAACTGAGTTTGTAGACACGTCAGGTGTAGGATTAGAGATATTTAAACTTACGACATTTCACTTATTTATCTTTAAAGAATAAACTCTAGTAGTATGAATAAGTGAAATGTTGCGAGTTAAAATATACACCTATATAATTAAATGTTTTTGCATAGTTATGAAATGAGTTGGATCTGAGAGTCATTAATTAGTAAATATATCCATATTTATTTTTATAAAGATTTTAGTACATTTATTTTTGTCATGTATTAGCACAAACAAGGGAGATTGAAAGATGTGTATGGGTTGTTCCTATGTGGGGTAGTTGTACCCTACCATCCAGCTATGTTGACGTTGCTCCTACTAAGTAGTATTTTATAAGGATTGTGTTAATTTAGATATAAGTGAATGAAATTTAGAAGAAAAAGCAAAGAATATGCAACGGCAAAACTCTACTTCTTTAAGCTTTTGTTTATTCCTATTCCCATTTCTAACAGCAACACAACTTAGGATTCTTGTCAATTATATATTTATTTGTAAGCACTTTGTTATTGTATAAAGTAAGCATTACATAATGTGAATATGATGGAGTCATGATGATTACAAACAAGTCAATAACTTATAATAAGTATTTTTAAGCTGTTGAGACCACATGGATTGGACCAATAAAATCAATAGCTTAATCTTTGTGTAAGTTTTTTTTTTTGTTTCCTTTTTGGTCACATAATTTTTACCTACGTAGCTCTTCTTTGTGAAGAGTGTGACAGGGCCAAAAGAAAAAGAAATTAATAGGCCTATGTGGTGCTGGTGTGAGTGAGTACTGGCTGGCTGCAACGTCAACCAAAACAATTGTGACATGATTGCTTTCGATTTGAAAGATTCTTATACTTGATCAAAACAAAACATTATCGGCACAATGATACATTTTAATGATCAAATAAATATTGAATTCTCGAAGGATATGTAAAGAAGGTTAATTTTATTCTCTAAATTTTAAGTTTATCGGCAAAACACTCACATTAAACATTTTGGATTCTCTCATTTATTTTTCTCTCCTGCTCTTTCCATCTTCTTTATCTCACTCTCTTAATTTTATTCTCTCTCTAGATTATATTTTTGTTTTTCAATGATAAATAAGAGTGACATTAAGAGAAGACAAAGAGGGAAGTAGAGAAAAATGAAGGAGAGAATCCAAATACCACATTAAGTAGTAGAAAATTACATATTTGTTTCGGTTTTGACAAAATAGTCTCATTTAGAAATCGAGGTTATGGATAATTTATAGAGTTACTCTTTCCACTGTTATGTGTGTATCACACATTTTCGAAAACCTGAAAATGTATTTCATATATCTGGAGATGCATCTCTAGACGCATCCAAAATCAAATCAGAATGCGCTATTATGATATCTACTCCATTTTGAACAAAATATGATCCAGAGATGCATCTTTGTACGTTATTTGAGTGTATTCGGAGATACTTCTCCAAAATATCCTCTGAATAATTTCAAAGCAACACCATTGTCCTAACATTGTAATTTTTTAAGGCAAAGTTATATGAAAGTAAACTCAAATAATATTAAAGTCTAATGAAAGTTAAAAGTCATACATTAATTAAAGTAAAACAATAAAGTCAAGGCCAAACATAACATTCGTCCGAAAATACAAAAAAAAAAATATATCCAAATATAACCTAACGGTATGTCTAACCCCTTGTCTTCTCTTCCATGCACTAAACAACATTCTATAACTTAGAAATCATGTTCTCCACAAGAGCCAACTGGGGACTGCCATCCTGAAAGAGTTTTGCCTCTATGTTTGCCTTGCGTATCTCCACAACACACTGATAGACCGCCGAGAAAATCTCGATGTGGTCATCCCTAACCTTAAGTAACTCTTAATTAGCTGGCCTGGATGGTCTTCCAAGAGAATTTGATGTCATGATAAGGTGTGACACACTATAGAACCATATCATATAGTCGTCAATATAAGCCCACTGTAAAGGAGCTGTCACCCTGCGATACTTCTCTAGTATCAAGTGATTCTCAAAATCATTCAATATCGCACCAAGATCTTTGTGGCGGACACAAGGAGGAGAAAACTCATAGGGAGGTCTCATAATAATCCGCAAGTATCCAAACTGACGCATCACTTTCCCGGGAAAAAAAAGATACATAAGAGATGATCCATATGCCAGTCATCCGGGGTATAAGGAAATAACGTCAAACGAGTGTGTCTCACGGTGTTCCTCATATGGGCAGAAGCAAATGTCATTTGGTACATGACGATCAAGATATACTATGAATGACTCGACCGTACTATTCTCCATGTACGGAACAAATGCGGCAACATATGGCCATTCCTCAGTGTAGGTAGGCAGCTTCTCACTTGGTGATGCGAGTGAAGTGGGAGATGATTCATCCCTAAAAATGGTTCGGATACAATATTAATAATAAGTGTAACAAATTAATTATGAAAATATTAGTAACGATAAATTACCATAAGCAGCGTGCAACTTTCTATCATCTACTTTGTCTTCCAAAGACAACCATCACTCAACTTCAAGTACAGATAGACCAAACAGGTGGCCCATCAGTTGCACTCATGAATTTCAGTAAGGTCGAATACTTAAGGTAGACCATATCTACATAGATGTGCTAAGTAGGAACAAGAGGTAACACATCAATGCACACTACTGGTGACACTCAAACTGTATATCATCATCTTCGACATCTAGGATCCACTGCAGATATTCTTTATAAAGCTTTCCAAAGAGATAAATCTTGCATGAGCACCTCTTGTGTTAGAGGCCTCATGTGCGGCCTTAGCTGGGTCAACCCCCAAATGAATGACCATCATATCGATGATTTCCTCTCGCTCGATCCTTTTGTGGTTTAGTAATCTCCCTCTGATGGGAAGATGTAGGAGGCATGAGACGTCATCCAAGGTGATGGTCATCTCGCCTATAAGAATGTGCGAAAATGAAGTATTTGAATGCCACATATCTATCAAAGCCTCCTGCATGGCGTGGTTTATAGTCATGTATGAAGAAACACATAAACCAGCAAGACCCGAATAACGGATAACATCAACCAACCAAGCAGCAGTGGGATGTTCCAGCTCCAATATCTTTCTTCCGTGGTTTACCGATTTCAAACATGCACGCTTATGTAAAAATAAAATATCACCTCTAATATCGATTTAATTAGTTGAAAACATATGTATTGAAAAAGAAAATAAATATACCTCTCCTTGCCAAACATGCCTAGTAATTGTAGAAGCGGTAAAGCGACAAGCAAAAGTAAGTAAGTATTTAGTTTTATCATATTGTCTCCACAGGGATTAATGTTACTGAATTTCCATTCGACAAGTCTCGCGTTTATGAGTTTGAATTAAAATGGGTTTAAAATAAAAGCGGGAATTAAAACTTATGAACAGAAAAAGAATTCATTCTTCAGAGAGTAGAGAACTCGCGGGTTTACATTTCATTTACCCTATTAAATACTTAAATTTACTACTTAGTTGTACTCAACCTAAATCACTCGTCAATATTATCACGTATCTCTCACACAGAGGTTATCTCTAACACAGAGTGAGACAAAGACCATATTACTCGCATCAACAATCTCTCAGTGCAACACAAACAATACAGAAGCATTAATCTCCAATTACCCAAATGAATATTAAGCTTAAATCTATCTCTAGAGTCTAGAACCTAATAGATGTTCATCCTAAATCCGGACTCGACCCGTCCATATCCGCAATAAATAAAACCTAAATAAAGAAAGTAATCAGCAATATTGATTTGTAAAATGAGTTTTATACAACACCATAAACAATAAATATATGTATAATCAAGGTAAAGTTACATACAAACTCACAACAAATAAAAACTATAAAGGGAAGAGAAAAGAAGAATCTAAATATCTCGCGGTGTCAATCACGATCCAAGAATCATCCACCCCCAATCGTCGAGTTTCAACCTCCATTGATGCTTTTCTAAGCTCTCAAAACCAAAAAATGAAGGTTGATGGAATAGGGAACAAATACCCCAAAACTATACCTAAAAAATGTGTGTTTTTTTCCCTTTAAATGTGTTTCTGCCCAACCTGTCTCGCCCGACAAGTAAAGCAACATTTTTTTCACGCTTCTGAATGCATTTCCATGTTTTGGTTATCCTCTGGCTCTCCCGACGAGCTCGGGGCGACGCTGTCAGCAAACAAACAAAAACAGCATTGTTTATGCCATAACTTAAGAACCATAACTCTGATTTACACACTATCGGAAGCGTTAGAAAGCTATTTCAATGCTCTATATTGAAATGCTTAAATATGATTGATTCAATACCTATAAAAATGAGATAAAAACAATTAAACTCAATTATATTTACACGTTAACGTAATATATATATATATATATATATATATATATATATATATATATATATATATATATATATATATATATATATATATATATATATATATATATATATATATATATACACTATAACATAAACTATACCGAATATACACTAAAATTGAGATTTATTGATAAAAAGTCAATGAATTAAGCCGATGAGTGCCAATTGTTCACACTCAAATTAACAATAATTTAGCATTCATCAAACTCCCCCCAACTTAAAACATTGTCTATCCTCAAACAAATTCAAACAACTTAAGTAAATTAAAGACGATATTCTAAGAATCACAAATCAACAGGTTTTGAAAATGGAAAACAAATGCATGATTCAAACAAAAACGTTACACACAAGGCAACATACTTACCACTAAAATAAAACGATAGCATAAGCACGAAACAAATACTAAATACAAAAACTATGTCAAATATTCTAAAACAACACGAGTTCAATCATGAACCACACCTAGAAAAAACCATCGGTAGATGAAAAACACACAAAAGTGAGGATCTTGTCACTCACCAACAACCTTGAAAACAAAAGACTAAATTATACATTCATCCAAAAATTCACATTGAACATACAAAGGCAATAATCATAAGGGCTTTTATGGTTGTAATGTGGCTTGGCTAACAAACAAAGGATAATTCCTAAAGCTAATCGAAATAAAAACTTACCTAAACCTAAGGGAGTGATCAACTCGCAAAAGTTAAAACATAAAATATCAATCAAACTCCTTCCGCAATCCCAATTGTTACACCAAACACACCTTACTTATTAACACAACATTATTATACTCTTTTTGTTTTCCTTTTTCAAAACTTTTTTCAAAATTTTCTTTCTTTTTCTTTTCTTTATTTTTATTTTATTTTATTTTTCTTTTCATTTTATTTTCAACCTCATAGCAACCAACACATAAGCAAACAAACATTTATCTCCCCAACTTGAATTCATCCAACATCAAAGTGTGAATACTTCCTACTTTCTAAGGCAAGGAAAAAATTAAAACCATAAATCATGGTTGAGGGTTCAAGAAAATAAAGAATCAACATCCAATCAAAAAGATGAAATAAACACTCATAGACAAGCATCAAGTTCAAAAACAACATGGACAATAACAAAAAGGCTCAAATGGGTTAACAAATGCTCACACACTCACATGGTGAATTGACTATTTGGTTAGATAGTTGTGCTCAAAATGAAACAAAATCCCTCGATACTTTTTATGTTTTCATACAATCAACACAAATAAAATATTTAACATAATAAAATCTAGTCAAAACAAGAACCATGGTCTCTAACATATATGAACAATGGAAAGCAACCTCACAAGAAGGGGGAACTAAAGTGATGCAATTCATTAACAAGTAGTGCAAAAGAATAATAACATGTAATTTGTAAAAAGCCTAAGTTTCATGTGCATGTTGTTATACCCCAAT